TTTTTTTTAATAGAAGTAAAATCATCCAGCAATAAGCACCTCACGTGTCCTGAAATTCCTAAAGTAAATATAAGTAAGTTATGGATTTTGTGTTTCTCTAATTGATATCCACTAATGACTGTAAAGTTGGAATTGTACAATATTTTCCACTTGACTAAAGTCTTTTCTGTAATTCTTCAAAGACGGGCCATGTGCATGTGATGAAGGCTGGGATGAACATGGAGGAAAGTGTTATTACTTCTCCACCAATAAATCATCCTGGACAGAGAGCAGAGATGAATGTAGGGCTAAAGGAGGAGACCTGGTTAAGATAGATAACTGGTGTGAGCAGGTATAAATCACATGCTCTTCATTTCAGTCACCATTCATTTGTTTCACGTCTATACATTTTAAAATGTGCTTTAGGAGATCTTTCTCTCAACATGTATCAGTGTTATATCAATAACACTCAAACATCTCCTTTTCAGATTTTTCTAAAAACCAGATTGAATGGAAAAATGGACAACTTTGACGACATGTTCTGGATTGGCCTGACAGATGCAGTGGAAGAGGGCAGATGGTTGTGGTTGGATGGCTCACCACTAAACACAAGGTTTGATTGTCATAAACATTTTTTTTCCATTTACAATATGCTGTTTGGAAGTTAACGTGATCATTTCTTTTCGGCCTTGATCCAATAGTTTGTCTTTTTGGGCTGACCATGAGCCGGACAACTGGACTCATGAAAATCCTGATGGAGAGCATTGTGTAAGGCTGGGGGAGGAAGAAGGAGAAGAACCCCTGAAGACTTGGTATGATAAGTTTTGCAAAGCTCCTAATAAGAGCATATGCGAAAAATGGGTAAAAACAGATTGACTGACTGTTTTATTTCAAACATGTAAATATAACTGAACTAACAAGAGAATGCATTGTAAAAGATATTGAGTGGTCATGAATATCTGTGTGTACCACTCAATTTAGATGCTCAAAAAGTAGTAGGATGAAATTTACACCATTTGATCCTAGTCTATTCACATGCAAAATACATACATAAAACAATATAAGTTTACAAACTAAAAAGGCAAACTACATTTTTACTTTGATCTATACACCCTGTTATTAACAAACTTCTAAATCTCTGTGCCTTGTAAAAAAAAAAAAAAAAAAAAATCTTTATTCTCTGTTTAAAAACTGAGTTCTGGTTGGCAAATGGTAAATGGCCTGCATTTGTATAGCGCTTTTCTTAGTCCCTAAGGACCCCAAAGCGCTTTACACTACATTCAGTCATTCACCCATTTATACACACATTCACACACTGGTGATGGTTAAGCTACATTGTAGCCACAGC